GGAGTTCGTGCAACCACGAAGACAGCGGAATCCATTGCTGACAGCAATCTTCGTGCCTGCGTGTCTGCCAACGCAGAGGGGCAGCATCACATGGCGCCAGCTGCCATTCCTGCAAACTGTACTGGCCACCACAGCCTGGCTAAGAGCAAGGAGACCGGGTTGAACGACGAATCCCAAGAGCCTCAGGCAGATGAAAGTGTCGGGACAAGGGAGGCAGCTGGCAATGTTCCTAAGAGCAGGGACGCCTTCAAACCACAGGCGATCGATGATTCTCCGCTGGTTTCGGATGCAGCAGACAAACAGCCTGAGAGAGGCCCCGATGACAAGGCAGCCCTGTGCAAAGGCAGGAACATTTTGCACCATCTTCAAAGCATGTGAATGTGCATTTCGTTTCCGGGTGCTCTTGCCTCAGGCAGTCACGAAGACACCTGCAAAGACTTAGGCACCAGCCACCGTCTTTGCCTCAGAAGGTGCATGGAATGATTAGTGACTCGAAGGCACAGCCACAGCTGCGGTCAAGGGTTGGTTCCTGAGATCGCAGTCACGGATGATGTATAACTAATTGGGATCGGAACAGCAAACTCCAAGGTAAAGGAAAAGGGAAGTTGCCTCCGCCGGCTGTGCCAAAGCACGCTACCTACATACCCAGCCGAGAAATTTTTGCAAGATTTAGGAAGTCATGTTTTTTGCACGTCACCTTTACAGGCAGAAGGGAGAAGGCAAGAAGGGCAAAGGGGTAGCCAAAGGCGACCGCAATGCCGTCAAGGCTGTCGCCAGACAGGTCGTTCTCGCTCCCCTATCACACCATCCCTTTGCTTGCTTGCTCGCGTGCTGGCTTTTCAGCAACAATCAGGTTGAGGAGGAGAAGCTGCTGATGAGGAAACCAGAGGCATTGTTATGATTGACTAGTAGAGTGCTTCAGCCGAATACTCGTACAGTCCCAGCACTGAAAAAATGGACATTCTACGTTCCAATCTTGCCGTGTGCTCGGGCGTCTTGTAATCAGAGTTGTCGGTCACATAGGCAGGAAGCAGTGTCAATCCGGCACAGGTCATCCCAAGCGTCCAGGTAAAGCGCGTGTTCTGGAATCCTATCCACCTGCGAGCTCACGGCAGCTGTACAGTGTGCTGTGCCTACATTCCAGCATCACGATCTATTGCATCTCTGGCTTTCTAAATGAATGAGTTGAAAGATGTTGAAAGTCCATGCCAGACTGTCGGAAAAACTCATCATCGGTCCCTGCCCGGGCTTCAAGCTCTCAGGTGGGATGCAATCGATGACGAGAACTACTACATTGATTTGGAGGACCTTGGGCAAGAATCCGCCGTACGCGGCCCTAGCTCGCTATTTGTCAAGCGTCTTGCGCAGGAACTGGAACGCCTCTTTGCGGAAGTAAGAAGTCCAAGAGGAAAGATGGAGGAAAAGGGAGGCAAATCTGAGCCAAGCAGTGAAAGCGGCGTGAATTTTGCAATGTCGCCGTGCGCAGTTCTGAGCAGGCGAGGGCAAGCGAGTTATTCGAGTTTTCGATGAGCAGAGGCGAAGGTGAGACCAACCATGCTTAGGATTGGCCAAGCCTTTAGATTATGCTGCCATGATGCCACCTTCCGCAGGCAGATTTGCGTTATGATCGCGCGCCTGCAAGGAGCTCACGCACAGGTTGTGAATGGTGATTGTGTCTTGCATATGATTCAAGTGCAAGGCCGGGAGACGCACTGAAGATGGTGAAGGAAATGGATGCGCAGAGGCCAAGTGAAACTGCACTCTGAACATTGAAGGGGTTCGGCATGTTCTGGCAAACTGCCCAGGCTTGGCAGGGACGAGGCCAACTGGCTTAAACGCTGCAAGTTGACGTTGCCACTACCATGAACGCAAACATAAGCGATTCTGCAGGTTGAACTGCTTCTGCAAAACAGTCCATCTGCCGAAGAAATGCAGATGCTCCGACGCGCTCAGGAGGTGCAGATTGGAGTCCTTCGTCCTTTGCGCCGTGTCAAGATTTGTATGCCCTGCAGGAAAATGTCATTGATGAGAACAACGTGTGGGACATGGCCGAGGCTACGCGCAGTATTTGCTTGGCCTCTTCCATATCTGCGGGCACAACATGCAACAGCTTGTCTCGTACAAGAGCAAAGCGTATTGACATGGACAAATGGACAAGATAAGGCATCATAGCTTTGATCTGTGACCCATGCTGCTGGCAGCACCTGTTCCGACATTTTCCAAACTGTGGTTGAGCATAACCGCGCAGGCAGCATGAAGTCTATTGCTGCAGGACTTCATGCTGTCACTCCTCGAAGTTCCCCGAGTTCAATTGCGCTTGAAAGTTTGGGGCTTCGTAAACTCCTTCCAGGCAGGAACAGCAGTTGCTTGAAGAATCTGCGCAGAGATGCGGTTTGTGCTTCGTCAACCAGGAGAAGTTTGAGCATGTTGCCTTTGATGTGGCTGGCGTGTTCTACGGATGCCGCTGCCTTCTGACATCAATGCGGGTTAGGCACGACTCAGAACAAATCGTGAGAACCTGATGGTTTTGTAGCCTTCCGGTGCCTTCCAATCGACACACAGGCACTTACTGGGAGTGGCACTACATGCAGGCAATTTTCTGAATGGTGGAACCCGGCCAGACACTGAGAAAGGAACCTGGTTCATCCTGGGGCAGGCTGCAACTGGAATCTGCCTTCGTTAAAATGCCATGGCACTCACGGCACTTGCCAAGCCTTTTGTAGGCTTAACGGTTAACGTGCAACGTCCCGTGTGCTCCGCCATAGATCCCAAACCGCATTTGCAGAAGCCCCACCTGTGACATCTGTGACCCAAAATTCAGATCTATGAAATTTTCCCCCTATAAGAGGCCCCCAGAAGCTGCCCTGGCCGCAAAACCAATCAAAATCCATGGAAATCCTAATGGAAATCCTAATGGAATGCCTTTCAAATAGAAAGGAACTAATGAAGGACATCCCGATAGAAGGTCTCACAGAAGCATCAGTTCAACCCGAACAGAAGTCCCATCTCAGAAGACTGGTGGATGCCCAAGCAGAAATCGTAACAGCGTGACTAAAAAATGTGTTGATGCATTTAGTTTGCATGCATCGTCCTAGCGATAGTCGTCCCGCTTCAACGATCATTTGTTGCTGCCATGTTCGCTGACTGTGAAATCCAGACCCAAACTGGCAGGATAAACCGGGCAGATTTGCCTTTTCGTGTGGGGTGGCGGCGGCCTGTGCGATTTATTGCTCTAAGGGGCATCGAGGAGTCGAAATTATTGTAGTCTAGGAGTGACCTTGGGCATGTGGCAGGCAAAAGCTGAAAACAATGACCGCCACGAGATGTCACGAGTATCACAAGTGTGAGGGACTAAAAGCAGCAAACTCCGGCGGGGGGTCTCATGGCCTTCTGCATGCAGGCAGAGAGAGAGAGAGAGCGAAAGCATTGCTGCAAGCACAGCTAAGTACTAGGATGGTACGGGTGTGGGCAGTGCGTTGACTCTGTGTGTGTGCGTGTGTGTTTTTCCTTTTGGGGGTGGTGCTGCAGCTGCAGCTGCTGCTGCTGCAGCAGCAGACCATATCGGTGCTGGTGTTGGTCGGAACTTTTCAGACTTCAGTTTTCAGCCTACAGAGTTTGTACTTGACTGTACTCAGGCGTGGACGTGCAGATGGTTTTGCCATGGAAGCCCTGCTGCAGCTCGGAACTGTCAAAGCAACGCAGGTCTGCTTCTGCCAGCAACCAGCGACTGCAACTTGCAACCTGCACATTTTTGCCAGGCCGCAGAGCAAACTCTGATTCACTTCATCGCCTTGCAGATGGAAAAGCAGTGCCCTTTATGCAAGACCACGAGGCTGAAGCATGTTGCATATGTTGTGTCATGTGCAGGTACCCGGGCGAACTTGCCAGCTCAAGCCTCAGGACTTCCCAGGCAGTCTGTGAGAATGAAAGGTCCGACTAACGACCTGAGAACCCCCGCAGGCATTATTGTGGGGATCCCTTCTAAAAGTAGTCTGCGCTCTTTTAAACGTAGTCTTGCGGGAATTTCTGGAATTGGGGATGCTCTGGGAGGAGGATGACACACATAGGATTCAATGGAGAAAAGCTCAAGGCCTCCTATCACCGGGACAGGAAGCAGATTGGATCAGTCTGCGCCTTACTCGCACAGTGTCTCCTCTCGCACAGTGCCTCCTCCGTTTCTATTCGCGTTTTTCTTGGAGCTGCTTTCACAGGACACGCAGCCAGACGACGTATTGAGGATGCTGCGCAGGACATGGTGGCTGCCAGCAGAAACACGTCCGCACAGCGAGACCTGCATCAAGATGCAACACTTGGCAGGAGTCCACTGCGCTACTGGGGCAAGCCGTGCAAATGCTGAAGACCATCCGACTCGTGTACATCAGCCGCATTCCAGACATTCTATCATATTCTAGGTTAGTGGCCATTTTGGCCCTGTGTGCTCAGAAGGTTGTTTTGGTCTGCAACTGGATCCTGAAAAGCTCAGGCTTGAAGAAGACGGAGAATCCGAGAGCATCCGTCCGAGTGAGGAGTTTGCTTTGGCATTTCGATCCGCACCGCGGCAAGCTGTGGGCCAGGAGAAGGAAGATGTTCTTCAGCATTACAGCGAGTGCCTGTCGATGTGCGTTGCAGAACTGGAAGCCCTCCAAGGCAAACTAGGCAAGCATGCATCTACAGCATGCCATGATATTCCGCGTACTGAAGAAATTGGAAGGCCTTTTGAATGGGAAGTACGACGAGTTGTGCGAGTGGTTTGCACCTCAAATTGGGGATCTCAATTCAGCTTTGGTCAAGTAGGGTCGGGTGTGTGAGGCTGCACATAGACGCTGATCGCCGCAAACCAAGTGACGAGCACCACAGCTGCATAAGTCAAGAACTGAAAGTGTACTCCTCGAGTCTTCCCGCAAGCTCGACAGAGACTCAGGCTGTTTGGGATTTGGCACCGCTTCTTGGAGGAGGGCCCTATGCTCCGGCATCAGGTTTCCCCTTGGTGCGGTCTGTGTGCATCATGGCTTGGGGACAATGAAAATTCAGAGGTTGCTGACAACCCTTTTGTGGAACAGGAAGAGCTCGGGGGTTTGGATCAGGGTAAAGACCTCACGGTCAAGCAATCTCTATTTCCACAAGACTTCTCAACTCTGTGAGAGCCATCCATTGCACGTTGGCTTCCTAGCACTGGATAAGAGTTCTTGTGCATCAACACCTCCATTTGTTGTGGAGGTGTTGACGGAATTTGCGCAAGAGTGTGCTGACCATTGCAGAACCATAAACAACGCTTTGACGTCACACAGTCAACTGATGCGTTTCAGATCTCATGAGCAAAATGTTAGACCTGCAAAATGTTGAAACAGCCAGCTGCAAGAGCAGCAGCATCCCTGGCAGGTAAATGCAGGTAACACGAACAAGTGAGCCCTTTTTTTGCACGACCACCACAACCAGAATCTGGTTTGTCACTGTAGGCATAGCGGCATAGCCTGGCACCTAGCCTCGCACGGACATCATCCCATTGTACTGGGCCCCGTTTTTGTGCAGCTGGAGGATGCCTAAGTCTCAGTACCGCATGGGCAGTGGCGCAGCATCTAGCCTATAATCCCTGACGAACACGTGTCCAGGATAAGATGCCTGGAGAAAAGTCGTTGCAGCACCATGAAATTGAATACCTTCAGTCGTTCACAGAAGCCCTGCTCCCATCCTTGCGTCGAATACATTGTAAAACATGCATGCACTTTATCAACCAGCTTGGTCGTGGCAAGGACTTACCCTCAATCTAGGAGGGTGTTTAAAGGTCGCTTAAATTTGCTGGGAGCGGTACTGTACTTTGATGTTTCGCTTTTAGACATGCAAGCATATGCTGAATGCATGCTTCAGACGGCGCACAGTATTCTAGCGTGGACTTAAAGGACGTCAAAGCTGCTCGTCGTCTACTTCAAGAGAAGGAGCTGAAGACCTTTTCTGCATGCCGTTCCAAGAAACAGTGAGCTGGGAGCTACAACTTCAAGCAGTGCACTGCATGCCAGGAGGAGCAAGAATTGCGCAGGCAGAAGTGTAAGCAACCAGGCCAGCTGCCATCAACTTATGCTAAGAGCACGTTTGCAGGAAGAGGCGGCCACCCCTCCAGCGGAAAAGGTGAACGGAGCACAAGCTTTTTATACACACACAACACACACACACACAGCCTTTGTTCCAGGAGGCAGGTCCGAAGATCGGTCACGATGCCCAACTTTGCACCTGTCGAGGATGTGCACAGCGCTGTTTTCAAGTTGTGCCAGCTAACACGCCACCTGTGGCACTTGCCAGAGCCTTCCTGCGGCACAGGAACCCGAACCTGGCGCAAAAGCAGTGCGTCAGGAGAACTGTTTCTTGAAAGTTGAGCACTACACTCCTGGCCGAGAACTTGAGAACCTTGCGGGAGGTGCGACAGCTGCGTCTGAACTTAAGCCGAGAGCTTGGTGAGGCAAATGGCGGATCCAGCATGATCTAGCAAGCCATGAGCATTTGGAAGGTTTCTGATTGCAGGATGCCTCAGCAAGCTCAAGCGAACTCTATGCAGCACGTGCCGAAGATGCCGAAGCTTCAAGTTGCGATGCAAGCCACATGGAGGCCAGCACTGCAGAGGCTTAGTGCTCATATATGCTCATACCAGTGCAGTCAGTGTGTGCTGTCTTGCAAGCAGGCCTCTTCCACAACGAGCTCAGGCGAAGAGTCAATGGCCAGGGACATCCAGCACAAAGAGCAGGCGCCTGACTCGCTTGTCGTCTTTGCACGAGACGGGATTTGCGAAGCTGTGGTCCACCAAGAATGGCTCGATCGACGTGTTCTGTCGACATGAAAACTTCTTGCAGACGAAAGGAGCAATTTGACAGCTTTTGCAATACAATGCTGACTTGCAGTCATCATGCAGACAGGAAAGAGTAGCTCATTGGACCGGATTTGAACATGACTTGATCCAACTTGACTACTAAGCACTCAAGATGGTGAATTTAGTCGCATTATTACTCGTAGGAAAGGAAGCGGCAAGGCAAAGGCTTCGAGTCCTGACTCCTGCCTGCTTCCCTGAGGGGACCACAGCGACTTTTGGCACTTCCGAGAAGTTCCAAGACGTCGCTGCGGACCACCACCTACTAGAATTCGAAATTACGTCTGATGCAAGCGAAGCTGGACAGGAGTCACCACCTCTTCCCGATCATTCTCAACAGCTCCAGGATTGTCTGAATGATTTCATGCAGACCCTCGAAGAGGCGTCTATTGAGCAGGGTGTTGAACTGCTTCTAGACAAAATAGCTGCAAGCGTCACGCTCAAAAAAGCTGAAATCCATTCTCTGCTTGCTGTCTGCACACCTTGTGGGACATCTAGGATAGGGGTGAAGTGCACGAGCAGTGAAAGTAGGTGCAGGCTAAGGAATGCTGCCACTGTAGCCCCTGCTGGTTATTTTAAAAGTTACACGCCTAGCACGACTCCTTCATGCACCAACGCTTCTTTCATAGCTTGCTGCAGCTGGGGCAATGCCACAAGAACACAAGAACACCTCCCTGTCACCTCCCCATTTCAGGGTACTTCCGATGATCTTGGTCCTTCTGAGAAGTTCCAAGATGGAAAGCTGGAGGCACCTGGGGGCAGTCTCGGCAGCTGTTCTTTGGTCTTCCTGTGATGCTCTTTGCTTCTTTGCCCTCTTTTAATTTCTGCCTGAGCTGCAGGAGCAACACAGGCAGAGCCAGCGCAATGATAGGCATGGACAGGGTAAGAACCAGTGGACCTCAGAGCTGCGATTGCTGCAGGCGTGGATCCGCCTTTCAGTGCCTGACCCGAGAACGGTTGAGGACGCTGCCGGCGCAGTCATGTTTGGAAGATCACTGAGTATACAGGACAGATGGTGTCTTTGAGATGGTCTTTAATCTCCCGACCGAGCCAGCAGCCGGCTCCGACCCGGGTGGCAACACTCCTCGGACAAGCGCACCTGCAGGCTCGAATGGAAAATCTGGGATGCCCGCAGCGCAGACAATTGAGGGGCATACTGCTGAGCTGCTTCCCAGCAATAGACAAGCGACAGAAAGCAACGCTTGACTTCATGCACTGTAAGCACCTAGCAGGCCAGTGAAGCACAGAGGTTCAATGTCTTTTGTGTTGCTGCGTTGCGGCATGGCCGTGCATTCTTTTATGTTACCGAGCTTGGTATAATTGGCGTGCCCGCCGGCAAATACCATTTTTAGAAGCACATGCTAGAATCATACCGTACCACAGGCCCAAGCAACTTCAGCCCGTGAACAATGATTGCACAATGTAGAGGATTCTGACGATGATTTGCTGTTTCCACGGTCTTTGGTGGCTTCACCATGCAAAGCCAGTCCAAAAAGCTAGCCGCTATAGGGTTCTCAAAATATCAAGAAAGGCCGAATGGTGCTGATGATGCTGGCCAGGAAGAGGTGCCCTAAACCCTCAATCGGGGGAAGCTTCAGAAACGCATCCAAATAATGCCTGGATTTTGGCTCCCCAAAACGAGGGAGAGCTTTTCCGGAGGGTCGGCGTCACGAACGTACCCTCGCATGGAGCATAGCCTTAGTTAAGTTGCAAAGTTTAGCTTCGTCGAGGTCCACACCAGAATCGCATGGCGCGCACGTGCAGGACGCGCGGCGTGTGCCAACTGTTCAGCGCGGGGCAACGTATCACACAATGCCAGACCAAGAGCGCGATGGCAGACCAGAAGCCTGGAGAAGAAGAGCCGACCCCCCAATGATGCTGATGATGCAGGCCCACTTGGCCCACAAGGGGATCAGTTACTCCATTTTGGAACTCCCCTACCCTTTTGGGGACCTCAGGAATCCTTGAGAAATCCTTCCATAGCGTTAGGAAGAAGCCTCCGGAATGCATGTTGATATCAGGCTGCTTTTTCCATGGCGTCTGCGGGATCCGTTGGAGGAAAAAGGGTCCAATGATGGCGGCACGCGCAGCCCCTCACACAGCCCCCCACAGCAAAGCTGTGGCTACGTACATCGCTGGAGCGAGCACAGATGGGTGTTGCCTGACCGTCGGCTCAAGCGGCGAACCATGAAATGAGGAAGTCGAGAATACTCAGTTGAAGCAACGACCTTGCCAGCGCCACCATGTACCGACTTGCCGGTGCAGGGAATTTGCTTCTGGCAGATTCCTGTTGAGCAGCACTTGCAGTCGCTTTACAATCGCTTTGGGGCATCCCCAGCTCTTGGAGCCTGGGCTCAAAGGCAAGTGCCTCCAGGCGTGCCAGTTTGACATCGTTTTTGGACCCTTAACCCAATGGGGCTCCCCCACTAAAACCGAGCCAGGGAATCCCCTCCACCCCCTACTACACCGCTTCAATTTCCGTCCAAATCCTCTGACCATCCAAAATGCCGCCAAGGTTGCGGGGCTTCAGTAGGCTCGCTGAACGGCTAGCCTGGCATGTGAAAGCCCAAATATGTCGGACGCAGCAGCATGTGCAGAGGCTTGGACATAGTCACCCGCCCGTTTCCACCACTTCAACACAACATGCTCACGAATGTGCTGCGAAGTCCTTCAAACCGTGCGCGAGACCATCCTAAAAACGATGAATAAAGGTAGACCCTGAGCCTAAAAGCCTAAAAGCTACTCAGACCCTGAGCCCAAACCTCAATCTCAGACGCATCATTTGTTTCCTTGATGAACATGATGGATACTTGTAGCACCAACAAGCCATAGCGAAGACCATGCAGTACACAGTCATCCAGCTTGCTGACATCTGGCAGTTCCACATAGCAGCTTGCATAAAAGGGAGGGTGGCCCAACATGGATCCCCAAATAGTGTAGTTATGTTAGAATAAGGAGCCCCAAAATGGTACGTACCCCTTTAGGAAACCCCTAAATGGGTAGAATCGTAAGAAAATCAAGTAGCAGAGCGAGGCATAGCGATGCCAAATGATTGTTGGGGAGAAGTATGCGTACTGAAGTTTTGCTCATGAGGGCCAGTTTGCCATGAGCGCACAGGGCTTGCCATTAAACGCACCTTGGCAAAAAAGCTGCAAAGGAGACTCGTTTTGCGTGGCCTCATGCTTTAAGGCCCGAAGCAGGCGGTGCATTGGCAAAAACCGGAAGGCCTGGCTCCCAGCAGCCTGGCTTTTGGCGGGCAAGTTTGCTACCGCGACGTTCCTTTCCTGATGCCGTCTAGGTCTTGCAAAGCATAGCAGCTGGCGGTGTCATAGCTGTGTCGGCTCATGCCTCAGACATTTAGCTTTCCCCAACCTGCAGGTCCTTACGGCAAGCTCTCGAATGTAAAGAGATCTAAAGAGCCTTGTAGGCACTCGGCAGCTAGAAGTGGACTACGAAAGGTAGCAGATCTAGGCAGACAAAGTTTGGAAAGCAGTCAGCGATTCATTCTATCACAGGTCGGGGGGGGGGGGGTNNGGGTCAACATTGAACCTTTCACAGAAACACAGCCAAGGGAATATACCCACATGGTCGCTCTTGGGTTAGTTGACCCATTTGCGGGTTTGCCGCTCGCTACATTTGCATGGCAGTGGTACAAACAACATCATGCTTGGTGGCTGCATCAAGACCCCTATTGTCCCTCATAGTCCCGCTATAGTTCTCGCTGGCATGGTTCATGGTACGAACGCTTGGTAGTTCCGTCAAGGCTTCCTCCTTCGGTAGTGCACATGAATCTTATGTGGACTTTTTTCCTAAGATCATGCTTGGCAGTGCATCAAACCTCCAGGTTCCATGTGAAGCTTTCTTTGACCTTTCATGGTCATGGCACGGATGACATTGAGCATGGTGCTTGCATCAAACCTCCCTACTCGATTTGGAGTTTTTACTACCCTTGCACGGAAATCGTGCCTTGGTAGTTCGACCTTATCAAGCTCCTTGGTAGCTACCCTTTCATGGTCACGGTTGCAATCCATCCTACTCGTGCTCTAGTGTTCGCTAAAGTCGCATGGATGTATTGAAGTGCTGAAGACGTAACTCACTTTTGTTGGCCACGGCTTGCCGCTTATGCCGTGAGGCAAGCTGCGCTTCCTGGTCGGCTTGCTGCCCACGCTTCTTCTGTTCCAAGCCAGGCAAATCCTGCCGCAAGTAAGGGGTGCGTGTGCATTTCCATGTGCTGTGCTGTTCGGTCTGAAGGCTTGGCACCATTCATTACATCAAGGCCAGGTAAGGCCAGGTGTCCTTCCTCCATGTCTGCGACACATGGCCAGGTTGTATCATGGACAATCGCGAGGTTATCGAGTAGGCTTTCCGATCGAAACAGCGCACATGTTGAGCTTAAAAGCATGGGAAATGTAGGCATGTCATTTGCCCACATGCTTCTTCCTTCAGTTGCATCAGCGCTCCTTCCTGGCAAGCCAGATTCTCAGACTCACCTCTGCGGTTTTCCTTAAAGCGGTTTCCCTTCATTGCATACCACATCGTTATAGGGCGTGGCAAGTATGGTCGATAGCTGTCGATAGCGAAGGTACCGAGCGCTCACGAAAATTCGATTGAGGAAGGCGGGCATCTTGGGCAATTGTTAACCCTCAGCCTGTGTGTTGTATTAGTTGTTAACTGCCTCCGCAGCTGGAGCCTGGCAGCTGCGGGCGGCCGGGCAGGGGTTGCCTGAGCGATACAAGAAGCGAGGGAGCGGGGGTGGGGAGTCCCTGACGGTGTGGGAGAGGATGGTAGAGGAGCCTGGCCTGCAGATTCCTTGTGCTGGCATGCAGCGCTGACCATGTCTTATCTTGTGATGTGAATTGCCTGGCATCTCCAGTGTCGGATTTCACCCTGTCGACTTCAGACGCGCCTTTTCCCTGCTAGGAGCCAGACACAAACGCAGAGCCAGCAGGCGCGAAGCAGATAATGTAGGCGTTCAAGGCAATTGCCTTCCGTACAGGTGGATCGGTCACCGCAGGGGAGATTTTCGAAGCTACTGAGGCCGCTGGTTCCACCGGGAAGTAGTGCTGCGGATCTTTAGTGGCATGCATGGAGCCATCGTTGCTCTAGGCTTTGAGTCCGTCTGCTGATGGCATAGGCACTCTTTGGAGTTTGTGCCTTGAAGTTTTGTGCTTACAGGATGCTGTTCAGCTGCAGAGGCTACCTGAAGGTGGCCGGCGGATGGATCTTTGACCAGGCAATGGTCTGGGAACAGTGGTCAGGCATTGTTCGAAGAGATGCGACAGCTGGCGCAGGGCATCGCAGGACGATGGCGGGGCAAGCCGATCATTGAAGCGATTGAGGCCTGGCCAGAGACTAGAGATGACTAGAGTGACGTGTTATGAGGGGCCAGTGTTGCCAGCTGTGCATAGTTTACTGCTCCGGCAGGCTACTAAGCCAGCGGAGGCACCATCAAGTGATCCAGCCCGAGATCTTCCGGATCCAACCACGTTGGCTCAACCAGAAGCAGAGACGGAAGAAACTCGTACAGCTTCCACACCGTCGGGATCAAACGATGACTCGGCTGAGCCGCATAACTCACCCGAAGCTCGGCCTGAAGTGCACTAAGCGTCAGAGAGGGCTAGATGACCTGCGGAACCTTGCACGGAGGCTGAACCGCAGTCGGTGGCAGTTGCCCTGGGAGCTACAAGGGTCCAAGCCTGAGGTGTACGCCCAACCAGCTCTCACCAAGCCACGTCAAGCCATTAGGCTAGTGCAGACTTCATTTGTTAGTACAGCCACTTGAGTTCACAGCAGGAAGTGCATTCTGCCAGCAATCTGTTAGCTATGCGGGGACATGCTGGGTGTTGTCCTCCAATGTCCACAGGTGGAGATGGTAAGGCTGGCGGATGCGGCTTTGGATTGCAGATGCCAGCTTGCAGGTTTGCCTGAGCTTTTTTATGGGCCAGTGGGACAACCGTGCGCAGGTTGCCCGACGAGGTTCTCGGTGCTGGCTTTGAATTTGTGCGTCTCGAAGTTGACAAGGGGTCTCCATCTCGGATAGACATGATGCTCACAGGGGCTGGCTTTGCTCACGGATCGAATGCAGGCGCCAACCTCTCACCTTCATGCTGGGCTCTGGATTTCCAGCCAATGCTCTCACTGAGCGCGGGTGACCCGCGTGTTTTGCTTGCACACGTGGGGCGATGATTCAGCTGGTAGGTTGGTACTGTAGCAGCTGAGCTCTGCCAAGCCTTGCAACTTGTAACGTTCACGGCACATTTGCCAGAACAAAGCTGACGGGCTGGCAGGCGTGCGCTGGTGGATGTAGAGGGCCTGACACTCAGCGGTTGTTAACTACATTAACTACTGGGACATATTGAGAAAGCTGGATCTCCCTTGGTAATAGCTTTGCTTTGGCCGTATCTCCAGCTTCTTCACATAGTTTTGCGGCGCGCCTCACTGCAAGACGGTCATGCAATGATCATGTGCCTCCTGAACGGTTGGTCATCATGCCGGGCGAACCCCAAAGTATTTATTGCAGTTGCACGTCTACCTTGAAAGCTTTTGGAGGTGGTGGATGTTGCTTATGCTTTGGCAGAAGCTTCGCAGCAGATACTCAAAAATCGGCCTGCGTCGAGAAGCCAAGTGCCAATGGGGACACGTGGTTCATCGCGAATGTGGGATACGACCGTGGCTGTGATGACGTCATGACGATTTCAGCTTGCCGTGCTCAACAGACGCCCGTGCATGCAGCAATGGAACTGACTTTATTTGAGAGTCTGCTGCTATATCTATGTGGCTGTTGAGGATGTGCTCACAAGACATGTGACAGAAGCATAGTGTTCAGCGGAAGCCAATAAGATCGAAAAGCCAATACTTCCCATGACGAAAAGCATGATCAGGACTCCAACGCACAACTGTGCGCTCGGTGCAGTTGTTGTTGGTTGTTCGACGCAGCCTCGCTCGAGGCCCAAAATTCACCGGTGGATGGGCATCGCAGGCCCAGGTGCGACCAACAGACCAGCATTTCTCATGGAAAGAGTTTGTATTTCATTTGTCTGGCCAGGCTGCCAGAAAAGTCAGCTTGACCAATGTGCGATTCCTCGAGACAGGCGGTTCAAAGCGTTACATGTTGGCACTTGCCGTTTCTGTCGCATGGGCTGCAGCTGACAGGCTCTAAGATTTCAGACCTTGAGGATTGTACCATCATGGACTTCCCTCAGGCAAACCGTTGTGCAGACATCGCAAAATAGCTTCAAGACTACCTTGCACAACCCAGGCGCAACTTGCAGAGCAGTTGGGGATCGAGGTCCATGGCATTCTAGGCAGATTCCCCGTTGACAAATTTCACAAGTAAACACTTTGGTGACTTCTTTGCGTTAATTTCAATCACTGTGCCCCCATTGGGAGGCAAGCCATTTTTCACCCAGTACGACGTCGACCCTTTCTCAGTAGCACAGCATCGATTCATCACATCTGTTCTCGCCTGGTGGAGGGGCTGAAATGCATGCAGCTTGCACAGTGGCTTCGAAAGATGAAGTTATCCTTCCTGGAGCAGTTGTTGGGGAGTGGGCTGCTTAAGGACATTGATCGCTACCGAGCGCGAGCAGACGTATACATGCCTGGGGATGCTGCATCACAAGGCAGACTTCCAGCGGCATACAGGAAGCTACAGTAGGAGTTTTCGGAGAGAAATTGCCAACTGCTGTTGCACAGTGCTTGTAGCTGTGATAAGTTTGGCTGAGCTTCTTGCTTGAACAGTTTGGATGGTCACGTGCACAGGTTTCTACAGTGAGGTCAAGCACCTTCCTGGCCTAGAGCTGCCACAAAGCAACCTGGGACTTGCTGTGAAGGGCGCCGCTGTAAGTGAGGAGGCAGGGATGGCAAACTGGTAGCAAGCAAGATGAAGAAGTACACGGTGAAAGTCGGTTTCCAGGGTGATGGGCCAGCAACACCATCGGCTTTCATCGGCCTTTTGGACAGCAGCGCTGCGCATACCGCGTACTCTGCTTGTTTGCGAAAACTATCGAACAATGTTGCAGACCATGCTGCCCACACCCTGCCTGCTTCTGAGTTTTCGGGTTAGTAATGCCAGGTCCTGAACTGGGAGGCTGCCAAGCTGTTTGGATTTAGTGGGCCAACCGATCCACGCCTAGCTGCCGCAGCCAAGGCGCGCTATGCTCACTCTGCCAAACATGCATCTACGTTTCCTCTGAGCTAAGAGAGATGTGCGAAGGTGTTGGCAGCATCTGCAGATGGACAAGCTGAGGAGGGACTTGTTCTTTCAGTTTGACTTGGAAGATGACAACGGGCCCCTGCGTTCCAGAACCCATTCCGGACCCTTTCGAGCACGGTCTTGCTCTCTATTTCTCATTGTTTCTGAGCACACTAGAGGATTTTCCTAGGTCTGGGATCCCTACGGGCTAAAAGTATCGAGAAAATCACTCAGTGGGTTCTCATGACCTCGAGCATGATCCGGGTTTCGGGTGGGAATTTCGGGAGGCAGGTAGGCCCGTGATGACACTGCTCGGCTTCAGGTTTAGGAAATGGTTGCTGGCTTATATGTAACTCTTTGAGGGTTAGTTCCGACAAGGACTTTGAAATGCTTGTCTTGCAAAAGCAAAGATCTAGGGGTTTCAAAGCCTGCAAGGGTCCAGGATGGTCCAGGACTCACCGATAAAAGAATGCTTGGAAGCAATGAGGCCTGTTCAGGACCCCAAAGGCCTGCTGGATTGGCCCTTTATGCAGACGATTGGGGCTATGAGAAGTTAGCGAATTGAAAGAATATGCAGAGGATCTCTTTTTGCAAAGCCTTACAATGATGTCATGTATTCGCCATCATCATTCACTATAGCATGTTCCTGGCTCCCCGACCCTATGTCCAAGCTCCAGGAAGGATGAGTATGTAGTATATAGTTTGTGCTTTGGCGACTCTTCCAAACGGTAGTACTCACCTGGCACATCCCCGGCTTGAGTCCGTGATTTTGACGTCCCTTCATGTTGAAATACGACAGTATTTTACAACACTGACTAGCTCACATCACGGGTCCGTCTCGCGCAAACTGCAGCTTATCGCATGCAAGGAGATGCCAGTTACGCTGGTGCGACTAAGCCTGTGTAGCGTACCTGAGGGCGCGCGAGCCTTACGTCCAAGCCTGGACCAACGAATTAGACCCTGTGATTCCTGTGTCAAAGATAGAAAAAATTGGTATCATGACCTGACTGCAGGTTGGACCCAAGTTGCTATCTGTGTCGAAGGATGCTTTCCATGCGCTAGCGACAGATGCATTTGCAGCCTATGCATTGCGGAGTCTCAGAGGAGGAATGGGAATCGAAGGGGGGCAACGGCCGGCAGCTCAGCATTGGCCACTTTACAGTCTCGTCTCACACGTTGCAGGGCGGCTTGATACAGAATCGATTGCTTGATTACTCACAGATCTCACAGGTTGGTTCTTTGAGGATGCGCACCACGGGTTCTGCTTCTTCCCTGCAGCTGTCAGAAGCCATGTCAGTCAAGACCATGATGATTATGGCACTAAGCAGCTGGACGCTGCAACTGCAGCCCTGAAGATGTCTTCTTGATGTACAGGTCGTGTGGCGTGTGGGCATTTGGGCATGGGGCTTCTTTTTACAAGAACATGTACGAAGGGATTCTTGCTGATTTTTCAGAGCATGCTAGCGGAAGGACCTCGGTGGTGGTGATGCGTGTATCGACTTTGGTGCCATAAATGCGGGCAGCTCAGCAGTTGCAATTCTGCTGAAGCTCTTCAATAAAGCAAGAACAGCAAGGCTTGTGGATGGACACTGTAGATTTTTCAGCAGGATGCGCTTTGATTAGTTTTGGACCGGGGGCAAGAGCATGCAAAAGACTGGGTGCAGATTTGATCACGCACCCTTCACTTATTAAAAAAACATTAAAAACCGTTTTGAGCTTCTCGCCAAACACGGCATGCGTGTACTCCGGATGGATGCGTGGAAGCGAGTATTTGCCCCTTAATACAGGGCTTTCCATTACCAGGCGTGCTGCTGTTTGAATCATTGGAGATCAAGAGGAGAACATATTGCTCTTGCAGCAAATTCGTCCGCAGTTGAGGACTGCTCATGGACAAAGCGCATCTAAACTTTTCTTGCTCGCACCATTCCAACTAGAAAAGAATCCGAACGCAGCGTGAGATCATAGTGCGTTCTTGCCGTTCTTGCCCAAGGTTGCCATTGGCAATCCCCTCGCGCTTTCTGCATCGCCCTCAGAAATGCGAAGGTGGGCTTCTTCGGCAATTGTTCTGCTGAGGCCCAAATCAGTTTCCCTCAGGCCCACATGCACAGGTTGCTACCTCTCTCGGCATCCAGCTTTTTTGATGCTCAGGGTTCAGGTGTACATGACATGCAGAAGATACCTCAGATTGCAAGAACGGCCTCCGTCACACTGACCCCAGGTTCAATTCATACAGTCGTCGGCTTTTGCAATTAGTCCGGCGGTTCGACGTAGAAGCCACCGCAAGTGCTGGGTCTCGGTCATCACATTGGAAGCAATGGAGTAACCCTCGGAGTTCAGCAGGGAGCAGCCGAAGGTGGCCTGGCCTCCCGAGTAGCATACATACCAAAATAGCACAAGCGTCGACTTTGCATTTTTCTCAGCAGCAAAGGTCTTGGAGGATTCCAAAATTGGTCCGTTTAAGGGAGCAGCCGCGATAATCGGCTGCTGCCTGAGACACGCTTCCATACTTGTGTTTCTGCCGCACGCATGCTGGACATCCTGTTGGAGAATGTTGGAGACTGCTAGCTTTGCTGAGGTCAGGATGTGCTCTTCCAGGCAGGGACGGCTCTTGCGGGGACACTACTCGTAGCTGTCGCGAGAATGCCAGCATGAGGCAGACCGGATGATCATGAACATGAAGGAGAGCGGTTCCGAGCGAGGAGAGCTGTGCCAGAGCTATTGCTGACTGTGCACAGCGCAGGACAGCCAAGTTTGGCTGCAGCCAGGTGAGATGAAGGATTCCCCCGAGATGTGACAAGCTTTCACCGCATTTCGCGAGACTCCTTGGTAAGAATAGGCTGCCGCAGTCTTGCAGCATTTCAAGAGGCATGCTGTAACTTGTCATACTTGTCACAACCATGTCTTCCATACTTCCGATTCCCCCAGGACGCGCATATTTTCCTTTCTGCATGGGGAGAGGACATAGCGCAGAATGCAGCACGGGGTGTTTGCAATGGCATGTCTTATACCAACAGTGCGCCGAGATGCGCCGAGGCGGCTATGGCCATGGCTTACTCAAGAGGTAAATCATCATTGACACATGACTTAGCATTTTAATCGTTTGCTTGTGGCAATGACGGACTAAGCTTAGAGTGTCTTGTAGGCACGATTCAATCTCGGCCACTTGAAACTTGAAAAGGTTTCTTTACACATTTGCTGTGTAGACTTTCAGCAGTTACGCATGCCCACGCCATTAGCATGGAGCAAACTGCAGGCTGCATCAATGATCTTTGGAGCCAAGTTGGCTCCAAGGGTCTCCACAAACCTACAAGACCAGCCAGACCAGCCTTTCCTGGCAGACAAGCTATCTCTTCGTGCGCTCTGAAGCTTGTTCAAGCCATGTCATGTCGGCCGCCGTCAGAATCATAGGCTTTCAAAGCTTGCAAATCGACAGGCAGCGCTACACATCGAGTGTATCGCTTGAAGCAAAGGATAGGGTTACGCAGCGCCACAGAGCTTTTCTTGGACTGCAACGAATTCCACGAGCTTGCCCTGCGCTAGCAAACTCCGAACTTCAGTCACGAAGGCTGTGCATTAGCTCAACAAGCTTCCCTCACATACTGATCTGATTGCAAGGTCTGGCAATGAACACTGCTCAAGCTGCGCCGTCGCTGTTGCAGCTGTGTGTTTGCAGCTAAGACTGTCCTAGGCGTTGAGATTTCATTGTAGTTGTGTGTGGCATAACAACTTTGCGCAAGGCTGCGTGCGTCCTGGGAGCTAGGTTCTGCTGTCCCAAGTGTACCGTTGGCGTAGAATAGAAGAGTGTAGTAGCCCCAAAGGAATCGGAATCCAGTGAGCATTGCATGCCCTTCTCTATTGGACCGAAGGACTCTGCAAGGCCTCAACCACTTGGATGTATGGACAAGCAAATTAAGCTATCCTTTTGTGACATGTGAGCCACAGTCAATACTCGGTTGTAAGGAATTTTGTATGCGGTGGACATGTCGAGCAATCACAGTTTGGGCACAAAGCCCATGTAAAGCGACGGGACCACCTCAAAAGCGACACCCCCAACTTGGCGTCCATTAGCTTATATAC